TTCTCCCCCACTTAAAGGACGACTGGGAAGGAGGAGATACTAACGCCAAATCTTAGTGGTGATAAATTATTGTTCACCACATTTTAGTTCGGCTGCCACTGTAAAAAACCATTAGGTTTGTTGAAGCATTAAACATAAAAAATTGGTAACGGCCTTTCCAAGATGCAAACTGGACCTCTCGGTTGCCAGTGGGACGTCCTTCCTATTACACCGCGAAGGCTCGAGGCAAGGAGAGAGAAAATACCTTATAATATAATATCTTTCTGATCCTACGTGTCAGATTCCGAGAAACATTTTGCAGCAAATCGACATATTTCCAATTTTTTACTGAAAACGTGATGACATGATCAAATGAAATCAACCAAAGCAATTGTCAACGATCGTTTCTTGTACAGTTAATCGCTAATTTGGATGATTTTTCGAAGTTGAATTACATGAGTTTCGTCGATTGAGATCGGCGCGCCTCCGAAACAGAATTTTCATTGGTTGATTATAGGCTATCTTTGAATCGTCTTAAAACTATTCATAACACTACTTATAATTTAAAGCAGTTGCAGAATTACTCTTGTAACTGGAAATTAACACCATTTACTACAGAAGAGATAGCGAGTTATCGCTATGTTTTAAATGGTCACAAAATACTGAAGAAGGTTTAAAATAAACTTTGTATTTTAATCTACATTGAACATAAAAGCACAACCTGCGCGATAGACAAAACCATTACTCGAGACTATTTAAATTAAGCAATAACAGGTACCGGTGGCGGGACACCAGAATTTCACCATTTATCGTATAGTCCTGCTTCACTGACTGTGCCATTTCCGCCCCAGTTTCGAAGAAGAACTCATCGGGGGTGGTCCGAGAGCGCTTCAACCCCTAAACTCCTACCACCGACTTCTTGACAGAACTCTTGGCTCGCGGTGTGCTTTCAGTACCCTCTTGCCGCACAGACACTGTACGCTTACAACCATCCATTCCTTCTCCGGGATGCGAACCCTAGATCATCAGTACCGCAGTCAGCGTCGCTAACTACTATACCGGCAGTTAAGTAATAACAGGTGACAGGTGAAAGCAGATCCAGACAACCGGGTGGCTTGCATAGATTATCAGGTATCGTCTGGATCCTGCAACTATCTAAAACTACACTCCCAAATCAAGCCATTATGTGGTCATACAAGGCAAAGTATCAGATTATTCTGCATGCGTTGCATTAAGTAGAATATACAAAATGCAGGTAACAGATATGAGGACACAATACGTTTCATACTACTTTTGATGGAATAACATTATTCTAAAAGCCCATTGTTGCGAAAATTTTGCTGTACTCTGAAAAAACCAACAATAACTTTGTAATTAAACATTTTCCTGGTTACACCTCATGTTAACACATTGCTACACACTTTCGTTACACTATACCTTTCATAATATGTATTGCATTGATCATTGGACTGTACTTAAGGCACATTTACAAAACTCGTTGCTGTACTTAATACACTATACTATATTCTATGCTACATATTATGCTGGACATTTCTCTTGACAATTCAGTATAAATTCTGAATAATAGAATTGATTATATAAGACATGACTTGAATATATGGTGCATAACTTGGTTATATAAGACACAGTTTTTGATACAAAAAGCTGAAGGCAATTAAATTCGAACGTTGATAGATAGTCTAAGACTAAATATAAGACAGCATAAGAAATAAGCTAGCCCAAAGTATTTTACTCTTTAAAGTTTAAAAGCGCGCTTTAAAGGCGCGCAAGTTTAAAGCATTGGCTAGCGAGAATGCCCAACACGGAATATTACATTTAAATAGAGCTGGAGGAAATTACTAAGAACAGACGCGATTGCCAGAAGCTGTCTTCCTCTGAAGATTCAAAAGCCTCATTCTAAATACAATCAAATCTTAGTTTGCATTCTAGTGAGGAGTATGGAAAGGAGAAGTTATAGTACAGGCCAAAAATCACAATAACTGGTTATTTAACATTAAGATGCCATACACAGTGCTTACCGTAAGTTTGTTTCAAAATCTGATGATCTGATGTAATTTCATTCTAAATTTAATTCAAATTTTATTCTAATACTCTGTTCATAAAATTGATCCATTCTGGAAATCGTAGAATAGGCATAAGAACGACTTAAACAAAGAGGCACAATAGGATGATTAATCATAATTTAAATATTCGGCAAATTAGAACAACTTTGTGGAAAACATTTGCATGCAATGCAGCGTAACATAGGTGTGAAGTGGTACTATTAAAAAATTCGAGAACAGCCCAAGTATTTTAAACGTTGGTTTGGATTGGAAAAAATGGCGTATTGTGTTTAGATGCAATGGAATTATTTAGGTATAAAATAAGAGAAATAAATTACATTGGAAGGATCTTCATTGTCGTATATAACACGAGAAATATCATTTATGAAAGTTTTCAACATTATTTTTGTACGGAGACGGCATCTAAAATGGAGGAATTTTTAACTTCGCATGTCTGAAGTGAGAAATGCTCTTTTATATTTATTATTTCAGTTTAATAATGAAATGATAAGGTTGGCAGACCAAAATGGGAATATGCAGCTGTAAGGTTTTTTTTTTTTTTTTTTTTTTTTTTTAATCTAAGCTGATTCCAATTAGGAAAAAATAATATCTAACGCAAAGTACATGAAGAAACGTATTTTTCCACTAAAATGCGTTCAAGCATACGTATATTCTATCTTCGCCATTTTAGGAATTCATTTCTGATTTAAAAAAAAAAAAAAAACTGTCTTCAAGCAATTTAACTAATGATTAAAATTTCAGTTACAATATACAACTGTATTTGTAGCTCTGTCATCACTTGTAAGTTTATAATCTGATATATTCGAGTCCTTTGCTCTGGTAGCAATAACCTTATTTCCCAGACTCATGCTTTCATTTATCAGAAAATTACGAAACAAAAACTGGAAAAGTTTGGATCTTCTGATAACCTTCGCCTCAGCTCAGAAGAGTATGTGAATCACGGACGGAAATAACAAATTTTATTGTTATGTTAAAAAAAAAAAAAAAAAAAAAAAAAAAAAAAAAAAAAAAAAACAGTATTTTTGAATCCATAAGCATTCGAAATAATTATAAGCAATAAATCTTACTACTTAAAATTTATTTTTGCGTTCTTTTATCACTCAGGCGTCTATGAATTTAGAATATTGAAAATATAAAATTATTCAGAGGAGCATAATTTAGTTTAGAGGACTAAAAAGAACAAAACCATGATGAAACTTTGCAATTGCAACTTTTTTAATGCTTTTTAACATGATTTGAAAGAGTCATGAAAGGAATTTTTTTTCAATAGTTTGTTTCAAAGCTGTAAGGATATAAAACAGTTTTTTTTGGGGGGGCGGGGGTCCGTTCTTTCAATTTGCTTTTGTGAAAAAGAATTTAATTTACTTTTGATATTCCTATAGGACTGAGCTCCAAATTCTTTAACATATACATATACTTTTTTTATAGATATTACAAGTCAGAATGTATTCTATAAACGCATCTCAAGAACTTGTTCACCAATCCTTGGCGGTAACTAACGTCGATTGTATATCTGTATCAATCCTACAATATCCTACGCAGTATCGATACTACACGCTGTATAATCGTATGATTTAGACTGTTGCGGCAGCTGAAAAAATCGGTTTCGATTCTATCCTGGTCTCGATCTCAAAAATGAAAATTTAATCAAATTTTTACCTTTTTCAGTAAGTGAAGCCTTTTTCTTGCTATGTTAGTTGTACGCTGAAGTCAATCCTAAATACTATCAATTCTATACTGATGTAGACTCTATGACTCATCACAACATTATTTTACAAAAAAGAAGTGTTCTTAATTATATCAATAATATGATGGTGTTTTGGTCACGGACAACATCCCGCGCATCTACGTCGTTCTCACTAAAAAATATCATGTGCTGTTCTTATTAAAAGTATTGTAATAAAATTAATTAATAATGAATATTTTATTTGCTATTAACCCTAATTTTTGAAAAATATTATCATAAATGATTAAGATGAGTAACTGATGTTTATTTTCTAAATGTACTGAAATTCTCTATTATAGTAGTATATACATCTAAACTGTAATTGAATTATCATTCATTTTTTCTTTAAGTGGGATCTGCTAGTGTAACATATATATATATCACTATCCATAATTGTATATTTATTCTAGAACTGCCATTGTAACTGTGCATTTATTAGTACTGTATTTGTTATAGTGTATTTTGTGCACCATAGATATAATTGTGCATAATTAGTATAGTAATTGTATATACGTTATGTATTAGTTTTCGTAACTGTAATTGTATGGAAATTACGCATTACATTATATATTTTTTATTGCAACATATTTATTCGACTATATATTTTAAGTACTTTATGCAATGCGTTATGCATAATAATCGTATTATGTGTTACACATATTTATTGAACTTATGCAATACATAATTATGTGCATTTTTACTTCCTTATACGAAGTAAAGGAAGTATTGTAATCCCAAAAAATTCCGGGTATCATATTTCAACGAAAATATTCGATTTGACCGCTATCGAATGCTGTTTAATGATGTTTTTGCGTGACATCTGTACGTTAAGGACAGAATAAAGGACTCTTTTCCCCAAAACGAATAACAAAAGAGATTTTAAATGGGATTCAAAAAAGATTTTTTTCGTGGCGTCTGTACGTACGTACGTATGTATGTATGTATCACGCATAACTAAAAAACGAGTAGCCTCAGAACGTTGAAATTTTGTATATAAGACTGCTGTAACATGTAATTGTGTACCTCCCTTTTTGGTTGCAATCGGCAGCAGCAAAAGTATATACTATATAACCACTAATTGTGCATTTTTTGTTTTTAAAATACGGTAATTACTTATCTACCTTACTACTACACCAGTAGTTTAAACTCTACATATCTACATTAATTTTTTTAGAATGATGTTGTTTATAAATAATACTAAATTAAAATACCTTAAGCAGTTGAAGAATAGTCAGTTTCTGGTCCAAATGGAATGGATTCAATACTTCCGCAGAATAAGGTGTCATTTCTCGAATAAGGTCGGCTGTTTTGTCAGATTTCTCCATATTAAGTACTGTTTCTTTACCTACATAAACAGAAAGAAAACTTTTAATAAAATATTTCTGTTGTAAGAGTTCCATAAGTAACTCATCTTACCTTCCTTCATTCAGTTTTATTTCACAAATGCAAGTCAATTGACCAGGTCATTAGTCTTCTAGGTCTTCAATATGTTTCGGCATTGCAACTGAAATACATTAATGCAGAACATTCTCCACATAGTTAGCCATCGTTAGTTGTCTAGAACAGTAGTGTCTAAAGTGGGGTACACATATTCCAAGAGGTACGCGAAGTGATGCTTGGGAATATGCCGAAGAAGTAGGTTCATGATCACTTGCGAGTATATGATCGTATACCACTACAATGTGAGGTTTTCTTATTGGTCACAGTATTGGATTTCAGTAAGATCTCGCCTAACATCATATGTGCACCGGCTCTTAAGCGCAAACATATTACATTACATTATATCATATGACATTGAACTACATTATATTATATGGGGTAGAATTAACAAGTATTTTCATCCAAGGGGTAAACTATCAAAAAGGTCTTCAGCATGTCTAGATGATTGACGTTTTAAGCCAGATTCTCCTAAACGTTTTCTAGCTTCCCGCTCCCCCTTTATTTTGGCCAATGCACCCCTTTTCTTGAAACAACGTATCTATATATTAGATACCTTCTAATGGGGAATCTATGAATAATGATTGAAAACATTTAAAATTTTTTTCCTGAATAACTGGACTCGCACTTCATCATTTTATAAACTAACATGTCACGCAATATAAGAATAGAACGGTCATGATTTAAGACCTTTTTAAAACTATTACAGACGCATGCAACGGTACTAATTAAAAGAACAAGTTACTTATACGTGCTAGATGTCAATGGATATTTCTGGTCATGTTTTTATAACATTAAATCAACTCATTCTTTTAGAATAACAACTTCATTCTCTTTAATAGAAAATTAACCCAAATGCAACTTGGACGAATCAACGTAAAAGATCAACTAGCATAATTTTGTAAGAATACATAAATTTGAATATTTGTACAATCAACTCGTCCGCAGTTCTCCTCAAAGCCTACTGATTTATGATGCCGAGGTGGGAAACTACTCTGTAGACAAACATGACCAGTAAAAAATTAAAATTTTTCTACAGTATTGGGAATTCAGGAACACAGACTGATTCTTATTTAAGAACACCTCAAATCCTACATATTTACAATGACTCCTCCTGAAAAGTCTCTTAGTAAGTTAGATTTATTAAGAACTTTAGAGAAAGGAGACTCGGTGTGTTTGTGCAAAACCATGGCTTCCTTCTTAGCGAGGAAACCAGTTTTTACCTTACCATAGATTTCAGAATGGAAGGGAATCAAATTAAAACGTAATTTCGTGGCTGAAAGAACATTAAAATTTCCCTAGATCCCATGATACACAGATTTGAACAATCTGGTTTCGACTAAATGCCTGGAGAGCAGAGGTTAAATCCGAAAAAGTTATTGCTTTTTCTAAAGAGCCTTACTAAAATGTGGCAAATGATAGTTCCTCACAATTTGGATTTGAAGACTAGGTCTCTTTCCTTAGTCGCACTTTTAATTTTGGTTTGATTTATTTGATTACTGCAAATCATGTGAAAGCTATCTATCTAAGTGAAAGGGATGCCTTCATGGAGGACTTCTAAGAAAAACTGACTTGTAGCCACGTTACACAAGCGGAAAATTTTGAAAACGCCCTTGCAGCCAACCCGTTCACCTGGATTTGAATTCCTCACCACATGACTTTACGTAACGTAAAGAGAAAAGAACTGGTATCGTGGCTATAACATCTCTAATTCTTTGCGCCTCCAAGCATTAAAAAAAAAAAAAATGCTGTACAACTTCATTAACAGTTACTTCCTAAATGTCGATGAATTATCACCTTAACTACAACCAATTTACATAAGATCAGATTTAATATTCAACAAATTTGATCTGTGCATTTGATCTGTGCAATTTACATAAGATCAGATTTAATATTCAACAAATTTGATCTGTGCATTTCTGAAAACTACAACTAAAGCGAGGCAGCACAAACTGAAAAGATGATTACTTATCGACACTATTTTTTTTTTTTTTTTTTTTTTTACACTTTAGGTGATCTGCTGTGGCATTTATAGTTATCAAAATTAAGTCTTTTCAAACCAAGGGCCTGGATTTTATTCTCGGTTTATTAATACAGCACAGTCCATTTACCAGACTCGAGGGATAGTGGGAATTGTCAATATTTTCGACAATTTTGAATGCCCCTCAAGCGATCAACAGTAATTTTTTTGAATAGCACTCAGTAGCGTAGCTAGAGAGGGAAGGATGGGCAGTGCGTTTTGGAAGGCACATTTTTGAGCGTAGCATTTTTTGCATGAAACACTCTTTTATAGGGTTTTACTCAGCTCGACCGTAGAGGCAGGCGAAGGATAATTAGATCATCATGTGTGGGAAAAAAATGTATTTCAAAGAAAGAGTTTTCAGAGTTTTATTTCCATCACAGCTAGTGAAATCAAATCGAAACAGGAAAGTGGAAGGGCAGTCCTTTTAAATTTTTGCTGTTTATTTTAAAACACAATCTCCAGAACAAAGTTGTAAGTATTGTGCTATTAGTGCAATCTTTCCTCTCGATTACTTTAGGTATTGCTAATCGTGAGACACGTTTTCTAAATAAAAATCATTTAAGAAGTATTCAAGAATTACAGATGTATATAAGGCTGCATAATAGCAACAGGAGCAATGCAGTAGACAACTAAGGTGACATGGGCAGCTTCGTGAACAGAAAAACAAAGAAATGATAATATAATTTTAAATTGTTGGAACTGAAGTTTTTCTTTAAAATTTAACATAGCGTTTCAATTCATTTCCCTACATGTCGTTTTTATATTCTTGTAGTTATTTGTTTCTGTATTAAGAGGGGCGGTAAAATTAGGGACCACCCGGGCGACAACGCCACTAGTTACGCCACTGACATTTTTAGCAAGGACACTGACAGCTCGGGGATTCTTCACACCACAAGACAAACTGTAATTACCCTAAATATCATGTTACATTTTTAACTCTCTTACACTAGCTTTAATTGATACAACTTTCTTGTTTGAGCGAATATATTTGGCATGAAGGGTAAATAGGTCAGTGTTTAAATTAGGCTTAACAGTTAGTAAAAATTTAAAAGATTGCAATAAACTATTGTAAACATTACAGGAATTACTGCCGAGAGGCACCAAAACAGAATTTCCTACATCTCCAATGATTTCCATTTTACAAATCTGAATATTTAACATGTCAGCTCGTATGCAATATTATAAAAATAATATAATTTTTTTAAATTCGTATTTAAAGGTTCTGTTTCATCATCAAAAGATGTACTGTATATTCCAGCGTATAACGTGCACCTATAATTTCAAACTATTTTTTTTTTAAATATAGGCATTTCTCTGTATAATGAGCATCCTTTTCTTTCGGAACAAACCTGAAATACACATGTGTGATGCTTTTATCTATTGAAGATTTTATCTTTTATCTATTTTGAGATTTTCCACAGGCTTTCGAATAATGGTATACTGAAAATATCTGGGGGAATGCTTGAGGGAATAAATAATCTTACACATAGAGTAGGTTGTATAAACTACAGGTGTGCACACGAATGTTATTCTATATTTTTGAGAAAAGGAGGGACAGTTTGAGGTAACAGCGCACTTCCTACCTGAATAAATTCGTGGAATTAGAAGCGACATATTTCCTCTTTATCTAGTCATTTGAAATCGTGATTTTGAAGTGAAAACTGAAGGTTAGAATTAAAAGCGAGATGTTTTCTCTTTATCTAGATATTTGAAACCGTGATTTTGACGTGAACATTGAAGGTTTTAGTAAACTGCATTTGCTTTATTTGAAATGCAGTTGATCTAGTATTCCTTTTAGTAGTAACTAAGGCTCCTGTAAAACAAAACAAACACAGTGCTGGTTTCAAATGCAAAGTCGTTCAGTTTGTGGGGGGGAAAAAATAATAATAATAAAAAAAAAAAATCTGAAATGTTTCAGATTTTAAATTACGTCCAAAGGGGCGTTTTTTAACATTTTGTGTGTTACCATTCTTTATTAAATATCATGTTCCTCGCACTTAAACCATAAGATCCAGTGCAAACGCAATATCGCAAAATAGTTTTAAAACGAGAATATCTTTAGAATTTCCGATACAGAGACTCACGCGCTGGAGATAAAAATGTTTTTTCTGCACAACGTTGCCATTGCTCGCTTTGAAATCCTTGAGTTTGTTAATCAAAAATTCGTCAAAGTTTTAAAAAATAGGAAATCGATCATAAAACAAATTTCAAATTTCAAATTTGGTCTTCCACATGCTCATATTCGTTGGAGGATTACGTAATTCAAAATTCGATGACTCTATGTACCGTTGTTTTATCACAATACGAGAAATATACATACATTTATGCAGATTTTTTATTATTTAATTTCTTCAAATATAATGCAGGACTCTAACATTTTGTGGCAACAGTTTGAAAAGTGAACCGACATTTATGAGTCCGACGCAAAATGCCAAAACGAAACTAATAGTCCTTCGGGATTCAAATCCCTTTGGACTAAAAATGGTAATCGTACTGCAGCAAGAATGTTTGGTGTTGGTGAAAGCTCCATAAGTGAATGGAAGAAAAATGAAATCGCAATAGTTAATATACCAAAGAATAAAGGACTATCTTAGAAGATAGCGTTGCGAATTAGGTCCTAGAAAATCGCCAGAATCAATCAATTGTAACAAGAAGTAGCATATGTTTATTTGCTTTCAAGGGGGCAAAAAAAGAACGCAAATAAACATGAAAACTTTAAGAAAGCTTTGAGTTTCTTAAAGTTTGAAGTCGATTTATGGCACGGAATAATTTATTCTAGAAGGGAAAAAAAAAAAAAAAAAAGGTTTCACAAAAGCTTCCGAAAAATTTGGATAACAAATTGATAAGTTTTCAGAAGTATCCTATTGACCTATGAAGGCCAAAAA